TTCCTCCAGTGGTGTAGCATGTTAGCATCATGCTGTGTGTATGCTTTTTCTCGTCTGCAACTGGAAAAGTGGTTAGAACAGGGGGCAAAATGGATGGAGCCAAATGCAAGGCAATTCTATAGGAAAACCTGTTTCAGTCTGCAAGGGACCTTGAACTCAGAAGCAAGTTCATCTTCCAGCAAGATAACGATCCTAAGCGCATTGCCAAAGGAGTACTGGTTTAAAAATAAAAACCTGAATAACTTAGAATCACCCAGTCAGACCCCAGACCTCAATCCAACTGAGAGGTTTGGCAAGTCTTGAAAGTTGCTGCTCAGCAGTGGTCACCCCTCAACTTGACAGAGCTGAAGAGTTTTTGTCCAGAAGAAGGGGCAAATACCATAGGATCTAGATGTGCAAAGCTGATAGAGGCTTACTCAAGTAGACCTGGAGCTGTAATTCCTGCTGAAAGTGTTTTGATCAAGTATTGATTCAGAGTAATAATGTAACCAGCAAGTTTTGGTTGTTTATTTAACTTTTAAACAGTTCAAAGTTAAATTAAGTTTAACCCTTTTATTTAACAGTCTTTTATTTAACTTTTCTGTTCCAATAAAAATATTTTGCACCTTCATTGTGTTGAGTGTTTTGTGTACATCCGATGGTAACAATGACAATTAAATGCATTTCAATTCTAGTTTGTTCCACAACAAAATATGAAAAAGTCAATGGGTGCAGGGTGAGTAGTTCTGCAAGGCACTGTATGTGTTTTTATATTATTTTTACTGTACAAAGCCTGTGCTGTTTTCCTGGTACACATTATTTGAAATAAAGGAAATTATATTAGACAAGCTGTATGTTTTCTACTGTTTTTGTGGTCTAAATCCTACCTTCTTGTGAGGAACACCATATTCCTTTTAATTCGCCAGACTTACTGTTGCTAACTTGGACCATTATCTGAGCCTTTCAGTTTTATTCAAGCATCCAACATCTGTGCTATATTCAAGTTTCCCTCTTTAATAGTGTTTTTTGCTTTTTCATTATTTACTTGGATGGGTTACACCAAATAAGAACATATGAACTTAGGAAAAGTCATGCTGGATCAGACTAGAGGTCTAGCTAGTCCAGTACTCCATAGACATGGTGGAAAACCAGCTGCCCACAGGATCCCTCAAGTGGGATGGGTGCAAGACCTCCTCCAACCCAAGCTCCTCAGCAAATGGTGTATGCAGGCATACCCCCTCTGCTAAAGGAAGTAGCACATAGCCACCAAGGCTCATAGTCATTGATAGCCTCCTTCTTCATGAATCTGCCCAATCCCATTTTCAAACCATCCGGATTGATGGCTGTCACAACTTCCTGTGACAGCAAACTCTATATGCTGTGTGAAGAAGTACTTCCTTTTATCTCTCTTAAACCTCCCACCAATCAGCTTCATGGGATCACCTTGGGTTTGAATGTTCTCTCTCCACTTTCTTCACATCATGTATTATTTTAAACATCTCTACCATGTCTCCCCTCACTCCCCTCTTTTCTAAGCTGAACAGTCCTCGTTGCCATAGTGATCCTCATAAGGGAGCTGCTCCAGCCACCTGATCATTTTTGTTGCCCTTCTTTTTACTTTTTCCAACTCAATAATGACCTTTTTGAGATAAGGTGACCAGAAGTGAGCACAATATACCAGGTGCGGTCGCACCATAGATTTGTATAAGGGGAGTAAGATCCTGGCAGTTCTATGTTCTGTTCCTAATTATGCCTAGCATAGAGTTTGACTTTTTCACAGTGGCTGTACACTGCTCTGACATTTTCATTGGGCCTGCAACAGAGGAGGCCTGTCACTGAACCAAGTCAACACATAGAGGCATACACATTTCACTCTATGTTTTACTGATCAGGTTATGGACAGAAACAAAATGATGGGTGTTCCCTCCTTGCTAGTTTTTAGAAGCCAAGAGGGGCAAGGATCTGGTACAAATATAGTGGCATGAATCTGTCCAAGCATCTTGTCAACACCCTCAGGCGATACCCAAATGTAATTCATCCAAGAGGACCTGAACAGACTTTGCTCTGGGTAACTCACCTGATTCAACAGCTATGACATTGCAATCTAAGTCCGAGCTAATGCAAGGTATTTTTTTTTCCTGTGAGTGCCTCACAAATATAGTGCAGCAGCCCATTTGCTGCTCTACTTGCCACAGTTGGACATGCTACACCCTGTGCTGACATTTGATGGGGAGTGGAGTTTGAAGAGGGTGTTTACAACTAAGCAAAGACGCTAACTAGATTAGATCCAAACATTAAAAACAACTTAGTCTGGACAGACATTGCACACAATCTGCTATATATATGGGTGGGGGAGCCCTATTCAGGACATTTTGGGTTGGGTAAAAATCATAGTTCTCATGGAAAGAACTGTGAAGCTTATCAATGGTGTCACTGTTGCAGTAATATTTAAAACATGCACAGACTCTGACATATACACATAGTTCAGCCAGATCACTCAATATTTCAGGACAAAGAAGGGAACAATATTAAACTGATAAAATGTGACGGTTGCCACAAGGATATAGAGGCAGGGAAGCCATGCTAAGTCTGTTCCAGTGAGGCTGCATTTAAATCAATGTGAAAATTTTGTTAAGTCTCACATAAATCCCAACTGATTCCAGAGGGATCTAAATACATCTAAAGTGGTCTGGATTCAGCCCATACTTCTGCTAACACCATTAGCAGGGATTGGGTCTTTCCAGGTGGCAGGTTGTTTTGGTGTGAGGTACACTTTCTGTTGTGTCTAATACTCACCAGCCATTTGGCTGTCTTTTAATTTTTTTTTTTATTGGCATGGTTCCCATGCCTTTGGTAGCTGCCTTCAAATCAGAAATTCTGCAGATGAAGCTTTCCTTGAAACAATGCAGTAATTCAGGTGTGCAGTGTGTGTGGGGACTTTGTTGTTGTTGTTAGTCGCAAAGTCATGTCTGACCCATCACAACCCCATGGACAACATTCCTCCAGGCCTTCCTGTCCTCCACCATCTCCCAGAGTCCACCGACGGCCCCAGTGACCCCATCTAGCCACCTCATTCTCTGCCGTCCCCTTCTTCTTTTGCCGTCTATTGTTCCCAGCATTAGGCTCTTCTCCAGGGAGTCCCTCATTCACATTAGGTGGCCAAAGTATTTGAGTTTCTTCTTCAGTATCTGGCCTTCTAAAGAGCAGTCAGGGTTGATCTCCTCTAGGACTGACCGGTTTGATCGCCTTGCTGTCCAAGGGACTCACAGGAGTCTCCTCCAGCACCACAATTCAAAGGCCTCAATCCTTTAGTGCTCAGCCTTCCTTATGGTCCAGCTTTCACAGCCATACATTGCAACTGGGAAAACCATAGCCTTGACTATACCCACTTTTGTTGGCAGGGTGATGTCTCTGCTTTTTAGTATGCTGTTTAGATTTGCCATAGATTTCCTCCCCAGGAGCAAGCGTCTTTTAATTTCTTCACTGTAGTCCCCGTCCGCGGTGATCTTGGAGCCCAGGAAAATAAAATCCGTTACTATCTCCATTTCTTCCCCATCTATTTGCCAGGAAGTGAGAGAACCGGATGCCATGATTTTAGTTTTCTTAATGTTGAGTTTCAGGCCAACTTTTGGTGACTATTTCCCTCATAGGCACAATACAAGTGCTCCTCAGCTGCCGCCTAATTCTGTCATAGCAACAACTTAATTGTAAATGTAAGTGGATGAGAGGCAGTGCAGCTGAATATTGCCAAAGTGTAAAAGCACATTACCCAGCATCAAAAGTAGGTGTACCACAGATGTTTTAGACTACAACTCCCACCATCCCTGTCAATGGGCATGATGGCTGGTACTATTGGATTAGGCCTGATGAGTCCTGATTTCAAATCCTCATACAGTCATGAAATTCACTTGGTGGCCTTGGCAGCCACTACCTCTTGACCTAACCTGCTTCACTGGATTGCTGTAAGATTGTAAGATTTAAAAAAGTAGGGGGTAGGGAAAATTTTATCCTGAAATCATTATTTGAAGGGTGGAATATAAATGTTACTAATAAATAGAAGCAGAAGTGTTTGTTGACAGGTGCAAATGAGAAAAGGTACATCTGTGAAAAAGAGGTGTTTCATACAACCACTAAAGGTACAGGGCCCTGTCCTGAATATCTGAGGGTACTAGAATGAACGATAAGAGTCTCAGAGCCAGAGGATGAGTTCTTGAAATGGAAATTCACATCCTAGTGAAAGAGAGAAAGAACAATATTTTCATCTTTTTCAGCCCAATAATAACCCTATCATGTAGGTTACATCCTAGAATATAAAAATCACTTTCAGTTCAGGTTGGATAAACCAAACTAAGTGAGGTATATCAGAAGAGTAGACTGAGGAGAACAAATATTTGAAAAAATGATTAAAAGGCGAAGACCATGTAGGATTGCCTTTCTACTTTCTACAGTGTGCAAGAAATCACAAGGCTCCTCTAAACCAACAAATGTAAACTCTAACAGCCATTCCATCCTGAGGAAAAGCTCTCCCTCATGCAGGTCCAGGTGAAACGCATGCTATGGTTGAATCTTGCTTCTTCATTCTTGAACTGACTGTTATGCTGGTGTCCGATCCTGTGGAATAATCCCCTTTGTCAGCCCTATTGGGCCAGGATATGGTACAGTTTTCTCCAAGCAGCACCACAACTGAGGCTCGCATCAAAGGTTGCAAGTAAAAGAAAACCTTCTTCTGGGTTCGTGGAAGATTGTGATAACTGTGAAAGCAAAGGAGCCTTCAGGGATGGCACGAGCGAGCGCAGGAAACCTCTGAGGCATTCTTGTCATTTCATGAGAAGCCCAAGGAAGGGCAGAGATTAAGAAGAGCAGGAGGTTCTGGCCACAGCTGCGAGGTAGGTACAGGATGAGGAGTTAGATTAAGAGGGAAGTTCTGTGAGGAAAATTTAGGAGGAGTCGGATTTCAGTGTGGAGCCTGGTGGTAGGCTTGCAGTGACTCAGAAAGCCAGCTTGAGTGAGAGCCGCCTTTGTTCCACTTGGGCTGAACGCTGGTAGGGAAGAAAGCCGCTGCAGCCTCTGCCCGGGTGTCCCTCCATGCAAGCAGCTGCAGCAGTCTCCCCCTGCGACCTGCTTTTCCAAAATGCCCCCGAGGTAAGAAGAACCCTAACCACTTTCTCCCCCTGATGTTCCTGCACGGAACTTTTAAATCTCACCTCTGCTCTCTTTCTTTTGCCCCCCCCCCCCCCGTTTAAAATCTCTTTCTCTAGCCATTCCCTGTGCTGGCCCTGGAATTTGCTCCTGCTGCTTTTAGGGTCATCGCTCCCTGCTGTCCTACCGGCTCAGGTCATAGAAGGTAAGAACCTCCTCCCTCTTTCTTTTTGCTAATTGTGGGGAGAGGGGCAAGGCATGAGAGGTTTATTCTGAATCCTCAGCGCTTCTGCCATGGATGCAAAGTAGGAACTGTGCATTTGTTTGAGGATGGTATGTATGAAGTCTTTTTGGAGAACTTGGTGGAGCATGGCAGAAAGTTTCCAAGAAGTTGCAGCTGTCATTTGTCCTGGCACTTGAGGGGTTACGGTTGAACTGCTGCTGGCTGAAATTTTCATTTTTCAGTTTGATGCCAGAAAAGTATTCAGGATTGCTGTGCATGGTTTGGAGTATGCAGAGCATTTCAGTATATGCATGACAGGAAAATGCAGCCTTCTCCAACTGGGTGCACTCCAGATGTGTTGGACTGTAAGCTGGCCAGGAGATCATGGGAGTTGTAATCCAATACATCTGGAGGACTGCAGGTTCAAAGAAGGCCAGGGTAAGGCTTCATTGTTATTTTTTTTTTAATGTTTACTGATACTGTGAGGAGAGCACTGTGAGGTGTGGATTATTTTCTTTAAAAAACCTTGTTAGATTTTAAATTTACTTTAACTGGCAAGACAGACTAGGATCCAAATAAATGCTAGCTCAGCCTTCCCCAACCTGGTGCTCTCCACTACAGTTCCTGCTATTCCTGGTTGATGCTGATGGAAGGTGCACTCCAAGACATCTGGAGGGTACCAGATTAGGGAGGACTGGAACAGACAGGCTGATGGAGGCACACTTTGAAGCACAGTGCTGGGCAGTCTGCGGCTGGTCCTGAATCACTTTTGAAATGTTGTAGTACACTGTCTTCATATCTGCTTGCATTTGTTCAAGGAGCTGCAGGGAAATGTACTGGAAAGGATGGGAAGGTTATTTCTCTTTATCCTCGCAATAACTCTAGGAAGTTGACTGGGCAGAGAGAGTGGCTGGTCCACCATAACCTATTGCAAAATTCAAGGAAAAGCAAGGATCAGAACCCAGATCTCTCTATTCCCAGTTGAACTCTCTGTTCCACTAGCAAGTATAATTTAAGTCTTAGATTCTATGACATCTGGAGAGCACCAAGTGAGACAAGGCTGCTGCATTCAGTACCTACATGACATGGCTTTTTATAGTCCTTCTAATTCAGTCTGGAATAAATCTTCAAAGGAAGTCAGCCATTTTCCCATTTCTGAGGCAGAGACAATGAGAGTCACTCATTTACATTATACAAACAGGGAACTACATCTTAAGACAGTGACCTGCTCAAAGCCAGTGTGGTGTAGTGGTTAAGAACATGGGACTGGGACTCAGACGATTCAGGTTCGAGTCCCCGCTCGGCTATGGAGCCAACTGGGTGACTTTGGGTCAGTCACAGACTCTCAGCCCAACCTACCTCACAGGGTTGTTGTGGGGATAAGATGGAGGAGGAGAATGATGTAAGCTGTCTTGAGCCCTTTGTAGGAAAAAGGCAGGATGTAAATAAATAAATAAATAAATGGTAACTGCAGATTCTATAGGGGTTGATCCAATTTTTGCCATTAGTCCTTTGACAAAGTAATCAATTTGAGATGTGTGCCAACTAGTTCCAAAGCATCCAGCTAGAGGTCTACAAATGCAACTGTGGCCCATCTGGGGACTATGGCCCTCTTATGGAAACAAGTGAAATATGGGAATGCCTTTGGTTCCTCTAGTGCATCTTTTAATGGAAGTGGAAGCCCTAATGCTCCTGTGGCAAAGCTGGGGAAAGGAGACAAAACAAAAGCTATCCACTATGCATGTCATCCTGTTGAAGGGCCAGCCTAGTAGGGTCTGCAATATCTACCAGTCATGGAACTAGTTGAAGCATCTGCTTCATGTGGCAAATCTGGGGTATGTTCAACTAAGAAGCAACAAACTTTGAACACATTTTGCTTATGTCACCAGTTCCTGAGGGTGGGCAAGTAGAAGTACCATTTCCAAGATGGCTACAGGCATTTGTATTACTCTCTAGGCAATATGGTGCCATCCATCAGCCTAAGTGGACATGGCCAATGGTTGATGGGTATTATCATCCAAAACATTTGCAAGGCACCAGGTTGCCCATTCCTGCTCTGGAATAATGCCATGATGGACAGTTAATTGGGAATATGCTCAAAATGGAGTTATATATATGGCAGTGTTTACAAACCTATAAACATGAGTTTAAAAATTTGGCAACAACCATAGCATCCTGAAGATAGAATGGTCCTGCTTCACCTCTGTCTTGACACAGGATATTCTGCACTTAATTCATCTCTGAAGATCCAGAGAAAATAGAAAGATGACTAAACAAATCTTGCAAAGCAGCATTTTCTATAACTGAATTTTCATCTTGTTTAGCCTCAAGTTTACCTTTCAATAATTTGAAGGTGCAAGTTTAAAGATGTAATAATTTAAAGGTGCAAGAAACAAAATCCTACCATTCCAAGCATGCTTGAGACAGCATTACTGTCTACGGTGTATGGAAAGTTGCAGGATATTTTTCTATCTAAACATGCATAGGATTACACATTAAAACATTTAAGTTTGCTGTATCCTCAGTTACAGGAGGAACAAGACTTCCTCCCTCATCCTGTGCGTCTCATTTAGGCCTGCAAGACAGGTCACAGGTGTAGCTTCTGCTGCTGCATCTGTACTGTTTGCACCTGTAAGTACAAACTTCCTTTGATATGTCAGTTTTCCCATTGCAAGGAGGAAAGGCACTGCATTTTATTGACATAGAAAGCAAAGTTTTTAGTAAGCATCACCCAAGAATCTGGAGGATTCACCTAAAGATTCTTCAGTCATCACTTCTGCTTTTGACAACTTTACAATGTGTCCTTAGGGATGGAAAAAAGAGAATCAACCACCAGTCGAGTCTTGCCCCTCTGCTTGCATGAGGGAGGGAGGGAGGTCTCTCAGGCACATGTGCAAGTGGGCAATGGGGGAATCGGCTGAGTGGTGCTGCTCCTTTTTGCACGCAGGTAATTGCCTTTTCCTGTCCCAAGGAAGATCTTGAGAGCAGGAGGCAGGCAAAGCAGGGACTCCTCTAACAGCTGTGAAAAACAGCAGCTGTCAGTGGCATTTGGCAAGAGTGATAATGGCTGTTCCTGCCACGCAGCCCTCTGGTTCAGGTCTTCATACCATGATAGGTTATGGTTTCTGGGACTGGATGACACAACAGGCCATCACGTTACACAGAAACCATAGAACAGACTGTTGTTTCTGCTTGTGTTTTCTAAAGAGCAAATGTACCATGCTGAAATACCACAATGGGTTTCAGACAACATGACAGACCAACAGTGGTCAAAAACCACAGTTGCTTGTCATATCTTGCAAAACCGCATTAACTAACATGCTCTGAACACCTCTGTTACTGGGACCATGATGCATTTGTCTCTCCATTCTCCTTGCTTTGGCTTTGTTGCAATATTGAATGGGACAATCTGTGTTTGGCACAAATTTATCAAGGTTAAATCTTGTCTGAGATTATTAGAAGCCAGAGGAAAGAGAAGCCTAACTTTTGGCAGTTTCCATCTCTCGTTCTGCTCCCTTTCACACAAAGCTTCCAGTGATATGAAGTCACACCCTCTCCACCTAACAGATTTTGCAAGTGCATTGCTGAATTTTTAGCTACTGGCTTATGCACTTCTGTACTGTGCACTGTTTCAAGATGTTTAAACTTTTCAATAAGCATTAACTTTGCACAGCTAAGTTAAAAGCAAGTTCAGTTGCTGCATTCATGCATTAAAGGATAACAGAATGCATTTATGAAAACTCACCAAACCTGTGAATGCCACCACAATGATTTACAAGTAGTGTGTGAATTATTTTTAGTAGCCCCCAGAAAGGTTTATTTATTGTATTTACATGGGTGCCCTACAATCCCTAGGGTGGCTTACAAATATGTATTAAAATAACAGTAAAATTGACAGATTAGAAAACAAACATCTAGGAATTAAGACAGCAGAATGCTTTTGTTGTGTTTTTCTAGATTAAAACTGGAGACACTTTTCACCTGAATTCAAGGAGATCCTACTCTTCTCTTTTTCCAGTTAGTTAAAGTCCAGAATTGAGGCTGCATTTATTCTGCTGCAGCCTTGTTCCTGTGGCATTGAAATTGATGCCACTGGGATCTCACTGCTCTGAGAAGCATGCTTCCCATGTGGTGACTGAACTTTTAAAGACACACTTCAAGCCCTCTCAAGACACATGGCTTTCAAAGAACTGCTCAGCATGCTTAGCAGTCCCAAGAAAGGATGTACTCATTGCAATTTGTACCCTGCACCCTCATTTCTTGCATTCTATGAGGCAATTTTTTTGGTAAGCTGTCCTGAGACATTTGTAGTGGACAGGTTAGAAAAGCTTTTAATAAATAAGTAATAAAATAAATTTAGAGTCCTTGTGGGCATAGCATGGAGAGCAGACAGTGGACAAGAGGAATGGGAGCTAAGTAGAAGGTGCATCAGCTGAAGGGCCTCAGAGTATGTTAAGGCATGTGTAGTTTCCACTGGGGCAATACTAGCTGGATAAAGAGACTAAGGTGGCATGCCACAGCTGAGATACTCACTCTCTTCCTCCATGGATCCTTTTGCTCTAGCCTTACAGCAAATTTACAGTCCCGTTGGCCATTCAGTGGAGGAATCTGACGTGGCATGCTACAAAGCACCAAAGAGTTAAAATCCTTCAAGTATCTTGGCTAGCAGATCCTGAGGTCCTTAGTAAATGAACATGCTGCATTTCCAGAGGAATTCAGCCTTATGTAGCACATGGATGGAACTTTGTGTTTCTCTGCAGGTTTGCTGTAGAATAACCTATCCTAAACTGGCACTAGTGATGTGTGAGGAATCTAGTTTGAGAATGGAAATTCATTGGATTACCTTTGTTTGACTCCCTGGATTCTGGCCTGCTTTCTCTCTCTCCTAAGTCCTTGCACTGAGTATTTGTATGGGTGTCCAGCAAGATGCAAGTCCAAACAAATCCACAAGGCTGGCTTGCACACATGCCACCTTGTATGCT